GGTTTTCCTTAGAAAACTGCTCAAAATCTACCAAGGTAAATAATTATTATTCAGCCTTCCTACGCATCAGGAATCTTGATATAAAAATAAATTGTAATATAATCATAATATTTATGAAATAACTAGGTAAGAACCTTTTCATCCGCTTACTTACATTTTAATTAAAATTAAAAATAATCTTACGGATTGGAGATTGGTTTTCGACGTCGTCGGTCGGTTCCATTTTCCACGTTCCAGATATTGGTGGGTATAATTTAGTTTATTGTTGTCAATATTTCTGAAAATGACCCAATTTATAATCTTGAGCGCTCATTCATCTTTAGCTTAAAATTAATACAGGTACTTTTGAAGATTCCTTTTTGAACATAATTTTTTTTACTTAATAAATCGTTAAATAACACAATAAAGTAATATGCTTACATACAAACTTTCGTAATACCTTTGGAATTTATAAAATAAATCCAGGAACATAACACCGCATCTACCTGGGAATTATAAACAGGCCGCGCCAACTTATAAAATTATGTTAATTTTTACTTCCCACACAAACGGACAGAACCCACTGAAGAAAAGTAGAAGAAAAACTAGGTTAAGAATGTTTGAGATTTTTCCTCAACACAATTTTAAATAAAAGCAAATAAGGTGCCCGTTCCTTTGAAGTGGAGGGGGTATTGAAGTTTCTTTGACTATATCAATTTTTTTTAAATATATAGGTATAGACCCTACAATGTTAATTGATTCAAATGCTACAGGAAGGTCGCACAATTAAAGGTTCGGAATTGTTGGAATCAACTGCCTTTAACTTATAATTTACTAACTCAAACTAATTAAATTATGCTGGTTGAAGTAGTAACTAAGCGAAGCGACAAATTATTTAAGTAAGCGTATTCTTGTTTCTTTATTGTAGCTGAGTCCCACTTTTTAAGACGAGCTTTGTAAGAATAGCTAGCGAGCACTTTAGTTAAACAAAAAGAGGCGAGAATGTGTAGACAGAAAAGGAAACCGAGAAAAACATTTCTACGTAAGACTAGAAAATTAGATAACTTAAACTGGGAGGGTAGGTAAGAACTAACAGGGCTAAAAGCATGTCTAAGCAAGCATTGTCTGGCACTAGGAGACATTTTTTTCATTACCATGCTGAATTCTCTCCTGACATCAGCACCGGACTGTGATTTGTTTGCGATGAGATGGATCATGGATGGATGTGTGTCGTGGATTTTTAACATTTTGTGAGAGAATGGATAATATGTATATAATTATGATGTTGATGTTTTTTAGGTTAACATAACATCACGCCTTTTATCCCCGAAAGGGTAGGCAGAGGTGCACTTTACGGTACTTAACGCCACTGTAACACCTACTTTTCACTATTTTATCTTATAAGTTCTATGTAATAAGGGTTTTTTAGGATAAAATTATTATACGAATTTTGTTATTTAATTGTGTATTTTTTTAGTATTAACTTTTATTTATATTATTTAATTACCTAATTAGTTAGTTAGTTTTTCAAGTACCTAATTAATAGTAGTCATATATGATTAACTGGATATCTATGACATGGAAAGGCCGCAAAAAGCTTTATATTGAGAGGAGTGGAAGAGGGGCAAAAGCCTTCGCCCTGCAGTGGGACGATCATGGCTGAAAATAAATAAATAAATAAAAATATATGATTAACAGTATAAACTTAATGGCGTAAGCTGTAATGTTATATGTTTAAATTTTCAGAATAAATCACTACAACCAAAGTCGCTATCCGCCGTCTGTCTGTCCGTATGTATGCTTAGATCTTTAAAACTACGCAACGGATTTTGATGCGATTTGTTTTAATGGATAGAGTAATTCTTAAGAAAGATGTATATGTATAATACACCCGTACGAAACCGGGGCGGGTCGCTAGTAAATAAATACATTACTGGACACTTACACTTATTATAATGTTTTCTATCTCCTGACATGATATCTTCCTATTTGTCAAAGTAAATAGGTAGACCTATGCAGAGACAAAAAGCAACCGTTTGAAATTCAGTTTTCCTCAAGGAGCTAAAGTATGCTTTATTTGTTAGAGGATCGGATTTCTAACTCTCCGAAATGACTGTCATAGATCTCAGAATGACAACCGGGACTAGTCGGCGTAAACTGTGATTCACGGCTTGTCGGAACGGAAAGACTGCAGTCTTATTAGCGGTAATTTCTTTACTGAAAACATCAGTTGTATTTAAAGGCTCGAAGACTGACTTGTATCATAATAATATATGAGAGTATTCAAATTCAAATTCATATATCTTTATTGCTGAACACTTAGATGTTTTTTTAGACTTTCTACAAGTTTTTACGCATAAAGGCTATTGACAACTTAACAAGCCTGTAATATTTTTATTGCAAATTGGTTTTAAAATACATTAACAATCGAGCGGAACGAGGTGTCGTCGTATTGCTTAATTGAAGGGAATAAAAAGCTATTAACCTACTATACTAACGTTTCAATAAATATAGCCTACAAAATGACTTTGTTGATAAATAATAATTATTGTTTATTAATTGATTTTAATTAACTTTCATCAAGTCTAGTGACATTTATTTTAACGAGGTGTAACTGCTAGTAGGTATAGAACGAAGTGCCATTTGGCGTATAATATATAAAACTATACTTTAGATCGATGTCCACATATAAACTTATACTAGCTTCACCGTTGATTCTTACTTTTGTTACTTAAATATATGTATAAATATTCGTACAATACGGCCTTTATATTCATAACTCTTCAGTAACTATCACGCAAATTCATTAAAGGTATACAAAGTCGACCCTCTATCTGTGTTCATAGAATTCAAAATCCATTCGACGATGTCTATATTCTTTGTTGTAGTAAATTCATTCATCACGATTTAGTCCCAGGCGATAGACACAGACGTCAGAGAGACCTGTTTCATATCTATGTATAATGTAAGTGACGTGGAAAACTGATCTGAACTTTCCGATACATTTTTACTGTAGTCTTTATATCAATCTATTCGCTTTTCACATGGGGATTGAATGGATTTACATTACTTGTGTATCACATAAACATAATTCATAATTAGATGTTTAGAAGAAAGATATATTTAAACAAAAAATCCGATAGAGGAATCACCCGACCTTGGATCTAAAATTAGATCCATCACGGTTTCCGACAAAAACGTCTGATCTATGTTTCCCCAACCTTTCGGGAGCTATTTGTTAATTAAATAGTTTGTCCATGTTTCGTTGCTGTAGTCAATTATAAACGCCCACGTGTTTACACAGGTTTATTTGGAAAGTTAATGTTATTATAAAATGTGTCTTTAGTAGATAAAATGTATCATTTATAGGTAGTTGGATTACAGAAAAACCATTTGCTGAATGAAAATGCCACTGTATGAGTAAACATTACATAAATCGTAGTTTTATATGTAGAGTAATAAACAGTAAAAGCATAAGTAATTTATTTCCACTTGACAGCTCTATATAAATACCTAAGCTACGACATTCTTTATGGCCCGGTAACTCCTAGCGGGTGTAACGACATTTGTTTTCATCTGAACTCCTGAAACAAAGTCACTTGTCTCTATTATACTCAAAGATTTAAGATATACTTACAAAATGAAACCTGTTAACCGAGACTGTTTTATAGGTCGTTTAATCAATTAACTACAAGGAAATTGAAGAAAATATAGGTTTCACACAGCGGTATTTTATGCCTACCTAAGTTCACATAAATGTGTGTGTACACAAACAAAGGTATGCCTACCTACTAATACCTAATTAATTATGAATACAACCTGGTCTAGATAGATATTCCGGTTACCCTCAGGCTAGGTCGTAAGCTTTGTTAACTACCTTCTACTAATAGTACTTAAATATAAAAACATCTTTATAAATAACAATTGATGTAGAGCTCACGAATAAAACGCCTTTTTATCTTTAAAAAGCAACAGACTTTAACTGGTAAAAGTTTTATTTACAAATTGAAAGTTTCCAGACTGAAAGATGTGTAATATTAGCATAATTTTGTAGGCACGATCACATGAACAACTTTATAATAATAATGTAGGTGTACATTTGTAGATAATATTAACCGTGACCGTCTGTTGAATCCCAAGTCCCAAAGGTACACACAGACAGTCGAACATGGTGCTGTCCTTTGGACAAGGGTTCCTAGTTTGACAATAGAACCCTACAGATGTTTTGCAATCGACAAACTTTACTAGCCGTTCATTAAAACTACTTCATCTTAACCTATTGTCATATCGTTTAACTTTTCACGAGAAGATTTAAGTAACTAGGTCAACATTCAAACTTAGATAGTCACCTGAATATCTTATACACACTGTAAAATGTTCCGCGCATAAATACGACCTACTTATATTTTTGCGCGGAACATTTTACATTATGATAGCGCACGATTTCTTACGAGATTCTCTGTATAAATAAAGTCAAAAACAAAGAGGTTTAACGTCTATTTGAGATTATAAATTGATCGATGCACAAAGGTGAGTCATTATTGGTAGTAAAAGAGATACGAGGCACATAAAAAATATCACGAGGCGGGAACTCGAACACAAACCATGGCGAACGAGGCCGTTAACTTTTTACGCAATGGCAATTTGCGGTCGCTACCACCGATAGGCGATAGCTACGCCATGGTTTATAAAACATGTAAGCTGTTTATAAACCACATGTTATCTCACAATTTAAGGAAATGTCGACATGTTTAAAGGAAGCCTGTACCCCAGATATACTTGACCGAGATTCGGAAATCCTTGAGGTCGGAAGAATGGTAGTGGTTCATAAAAGCTCCATATTTTTGTTATACCTCGAACAGAGATAGGCACTTAGGTATATAAATAGCCTTTATACAGAATAGATAGTTTCAGATTGAGATATTTAAGGCTGTAACTAAAGGGTCCTTATAAAATTTATGTCCACTCAGGCCAGCTCACATCGATGCGCTGCTGCCGTCTGAAGTGGCTACTAGAGTATAATGACTGCTGTTGTGGCGATGAGCACGACGACGTCACCAAAGACTTCGCTTGCCAAGCTCGTGCTGTATCCTAAGCCGAAGCCTTTCAAGGTCATGGTATTAGGTCAGTCTGGAGTCGGTAAATCAGGTAAGATCAAAATGATAACATATTACTATCTAATTTAGCCACGTAAGCCTAGTCTAACCTTGTTCACATTTTGGGAAGAAAAATATTTTTTACCGCTTTATGCTAAGGGTACCTACCAACCTATTTACTTACCAACTTATGTAGGCGTAGAGTTACCTAATGTGTATATTTATTTACTTGGTATATGCTAACTTATATAATTATAGCAAAAAATAAATAATGATAATGATCCTCTCCTTTTTACTAAGTTAATATTTTATTAATAATTAGGCAACTTATCTTCCAGCTCTCGTCGTTAGATTTATTACACGAAGATTCATCGGCGAATACGATCCCAATTTAGAGAAGATCTACGCATTCCAAACTGTCATTGATAACGAGATGGTTTATTTTGAAATATTAGATTCCGCTGGAGAATCACACGTAAGTTTCATATCACACTGACATAACATTGTATATTTTATTGCAAATAAAAGCTTTCTAATGTTCGACGGTAGTCTAAACAGTGTTCGTACGCTTGAAAACTATCTCTTATCACTCAATTCGTAATCTAAACATATTTGAACTGATATTCATTTTGTTACAACATGAAAATAAACACGATGATTCATGAATGTATTTTTATTGCACTCAGGAAAGTGAATACGCGAATCTCGAGAGCAACATACGTTGGGCGGAGGCGTTCATTCTAATGTATTCGGTCACGGACAAGTGCTCGTTCGACGAGTGCCACCGACTCAAATTCCTCATCAACTACAACAAGAGGAGACGCCGACTCGCTTCCTCTATGAGGGTTAGTCACGCACGATACAGCTTCGTAGAAAAATATATTTGGTTTCCTTATTTTGTGAGGAAGTTTGTAAGAACCAAAGAACGTACCTATCACTAACTAGTCTAAAAATTAATTAACAATGGTTTCTACCTCTACAAACGTTTCCGACTTTTCCAATAAACTTGGTTAAAAACTCACCGATAAAGGTCAGATTATTTTCAATCAAGTATAATGCTACTATTTACGTCCTTCGAATTGGGTGTTGAATAGTCAATCAATTTTACCGATCGTTTAGATTTTCACGTGACGGAGGTCGGTAATGCACATCAAATCAACAAAATGCCGAATTGCGAAAACCATTTTCCTTACTTTTATACGATTACAGCCACTTTCTGTTTTTGCTAGTTTTAATCTTCTACTTTTTCTCTCAAATCGTTATAGGTTTTTATTTTATTTCGTTCACGTATTTTATTTTGTTTGGAGAAATGACGCAGCAAAGATACAATCGATTTCTCGTAAAAATATGTAATTTTGAAACGCCATTCTTTCCGCTACTGATAGCGTCTTTAATAAGGCTTCGTTTTATTTTAAGGAGGTCGAGTGATCTTGTTTTAGACCCCTTTTTTTTTTTTTTTAAGGGGGGAAAATCATCGAATGACTGCTCCCGCCTGGGTGAGGCGGAAGGGAGTGTCAGACTCTTACTGACTAAAAACCACCCCGTTCCTTCTCCTGCACGTCGAGCCGGAGCCCCGGTTACCCGTTAGGTTCTCCGCGACTGTTTTAGACCCCTAACATTGACAAATAAACATAAACAGTGGAGTGTGTAAATACATCGCTACAACGGATATATACGCAACATGAGAACGAAATAATTGTCCTTTTTGCGTTCTTTCTTTACATATATATCCTCAGGCGTTTGCCGTTCCTTATCCTTAACAAATACGCACTTATAATGATCCGGTAATACCATCTGGATTTTGATAATCTCTCTAAGTAAGTAGATAATCTCCATCATCATCATTTCCAGCTTTTAGCAACCCTCTTCTGGAACCTTATTTTACACCATTTTCCCTTATTTCGTAAATAATGTCTGAGTATTTTCCTTTCTTTAAAATAAAACGTATTTATCCTTCCCGCGAAGCATTTAAATTACGCAGTAAATGACGTGCGTTGATTAGTCAAAATACAGAGATTTGATACTCTGATATTTGCTTGAAATAGTTTTCCGGGAACCAAAAAACACATATAAAAGTTTGAATCATGCTCTTTTCTAAATTGGCTAAATGTGAAACGTAACGCGGTTATAAGTTTCGGGTCGAAGCCAGCGATTGAACTTTTCAAACTTTAACTAAGGGATATTTACTATTAAATTCGTCCCAGGATTTCAACGCAGTGATGACCCTGATATATTGAGAGGGCTCTTAATTCTATTGACTTTTGTTTTCAGGATTGTGCTATAGAAACCCCAGTGGTTATGGTTGGCAACAAGGTAGACCAAGTCGGCGACCGAATGGTCACAACTGAGGAGGGCCAGCGACGAAGCAAAGAGATCGGCTGCGTGTGCTTCCACGAGATCTCAGTCAGGGAGAGTATTGACCAGGTCAGTTGAAAGTAGTTCTTATTACAGTTTTATACTTCGTAGAAAATTTCACAATAGAAAAATGGCATAACATACGAAAACACTGTACGATGTTTCTTATTGTAAAAAAAAAACAACGCGTTGAAGACAACAATAGATAGAAAAGAAGCAACATTTGTACAAAGATATCTAAATGAAATGCAGCCGAATAGGGTTCTGTTAAACTTTAAATGCAATAAAAGTCATGTAGGAGAGAAGGGTTTTTCAATTTTGTGTAAATTAAAAATTCCATTGCGTTCTCGCCACGCTCTGCAGGGTTTAACTGACGCTACAAATCGATTAATAAAACGATTAAACTCATCCAAAATGTTCGTCATTCTGTCGCAAATTGGATGAAAGGTTTTGGGATTGACATTTCCAAAACTACATACCTGCATAAATAATGCAGTTAAAAAAAAACTCCCTATGAAATAAAGAAAAGGAATCTGTACGTTACCTAACCAGTATTAAGTACCTGTTTGGAAGATCCATAGACTAATTCCAACATTTCCCCACTGACACTCAATGTCGTAAATCCTGTAGGTATATGCGAATAAATTGCTACGAAATCACATAAACCCAATATGCGCCATATTTTGGGGTTAATATCGAACCCATTACTCGTATTTTCTTAATCAAAGCAGCTACAAAACAACGTTTATTGCTATAATGGCCTTAATTTCTCGCTCGCTAATCAAAAGGAAACAAACAATAAGTCCGACACGCATTTATTAGATACAAACAGCCCTAAAATGTTACGCCGAAGAAGTTGTGAACATGATTTCATTACTCAGGATGTCATTCATTAAGAATTCTCTTATGAAGTTGTGATAAGTAACTAACTCTACGTGTCGATGTAGATGGTATACGCTTATTCTTGCAACTGACATTAACCATTAGAAAAAAGATAACAATGATTTTAATAAAACATAACTATATATTAAGTGCACATATTTAAGTAGGTACATAATAAAACTATTTTCTTAAACGTAGTAACAAAGTCAGTGCCTAAATATACTGAATATACAAAAAACTGAAGAAAAGTTTACAATACCTTAGGCTACATATTTTTAGTTCACTAGATTCAAATATTTCTATGATTCTCACATAATATTATATATTCGAAACACCTTGTATACTACACAATAGAATCTATTTTTACAGTCAGAATTACGAAGAAAAACTTAAGAGAGAGTTTCAATAAAGCGTGGGACGAAGACACAACGTTATCGTAATAAGATACGTGGTTTATCTGCGAAATAAACTTTTTGTGGTTCCAAGATACTTAGAATAAATCTGCGCTATAAATTCGTTTTGAAGTTTGAAGCAAAAGCCTTTGGAAACCAATGAACCTATGTGTAATGTAACACAAATTCCAATAAGGTCATTTAACGCACGAAGTTAATTTTTATTTAAATTAAGAAACTAAGGTTTTAAATCTCGAATCGAATTTTATCTTTTTTATTATCTATGTCGTAAACAAACTATGACATGGAAAATTCGGAAATTTACTTTATGCAATGCCTATAGTCAGAATTTTAATTAGATTCCAGATTTGACAATAGCTACTGTCATTTTGTGAAATAATGATACCACATATAATAGTGTAGTGATGCACACAAAAATCGATAAACAATCAGTGTGTGTGTTTTATAATAAATGTTACAGAAAGTGACAGGATAGCGATAGCTATGATGGCGACAATTTATAAAATAACTTATTACCATAATACATCTATATGTTTTATTTGTCATGTTCCTTCATGATTACAATTTTTTATTTATTTCACACACAATTATAAAAGAAACGTCTCAGATCGTTAATTAATCGTCAAAACTAAATTATTGGTTCAGAAATATTTAATTTCCTGATATACTTAGTTCACGAGAGTAAAATTATAATTCTTATAAACGAGAAGAATCGATCCAGAAATATTGCATTTCCATATCGAATAATTTCGCAACGTCACTATTTAGTACTTGTCATAACGTTGCCACACTGAAATTGTCAAATCTGGAATCGAATTAAAATTCCGAGTATAGTTCGATTGTCGTCGGGTCCGTACCTACCTGTCAGAGAAATTCGCTAATAAGGTCAAACATATTACGTGTCTGTTATATGCATCCAATTTCCGCTTTGCTGAATATGGCAATGCAATTTAATGATGACCCAGCCTAGGTTGATGTTGGTGTGTTGTATGACACATGTCGCATAGTCGGTCAGTCTACATGACACGTAGGTTTTTTATAAGTGATCAATTACGGTAGTGAATATTTTATCGAAGTTATTATTAAACATTAGAATTATTGTACCTAATCTTTTATTTTAATACGATCTTGTATAAAATTAAGTGACAGTCAACATCCCTATTTTTCAAAAGCTGCTCAATTTATTGCGAACCTCATTATTTATTTACATCTTTGATAGCCACTAAACTACCTCAATAATAACTTACAAACAATATGTAGAAGCACCCCAAACGAGCGACCCAACTTCCAATATCACCAAATCGGTGGAAATGACGAAGCTTTGTGGTCTATTTACATAAGTGCCTACTTACTTAGTTACTTACTCAACGGCCGTGTACAGTAATTTAACTTTGCAATCCCAACCAATTTATACGTAAGTCTGTTCCTGACATGTTCGATTTATTGTGGGGAGAGAGTACACCATTATCCGAGATCGGTCCTTCAAGACTTAGCCTTTCAGACTAATTTTGTATGTTATATTAAAGGGAAATATGCACGGACTTAAAATAAACAACATCTGGAAGACTCATGGTGCCAATTGGCTAAGAATGACAGCAGTTGTAGACGCACAAACCTTGTACAAAGATTATGTTCTAAAACGCCTAAGGTCGCTTCATGTAACATGATCATTCATCCGAATTTTGAGAAGACCGCCGATGAGTCTTTACTCATCGGCGGTCTTTACCAAGACCATAGTAAACAAACAAACATCTATGCTTTCAAGGAGTTTATTAAGATGTTTCATTATAACCGGAAAATACTTATAACATTTTGCGTCTAATGGAAATTTTTGTTGAAGTTTAATCAAGTTTCAGAAGTTCTTAATTAAGTTTAAATATTTAGAAAATTTATCAACCCCCGTCTTATATTCATTAACAAGCACCGATAAATCGGAAGGTTTAAGTAAACCAGTTCATATTTCTTTTAATAAACTGCCTTTGTGGGGATGATATTGTACTTTGAGGACAGTTTTATCGATTTTTAAACTGTGGAAAATTACTTACCATGTCGGTTAACGTACTAGATTTGATTTGCAAGTCAAGCAAGGAATATCAAGGAGTGAATGTAGATGTGCTGTATGTGAGCTAGGTATTGTTTTAAACATACCTATTTATGTACAATCTGTAGGTATATAAGTAAATATGTATATGAATTGGTGTTTTTAGTGTAAGTAGTGTAGGCACATAAATGACATAAAAGGTCGGTCTGTCGCGTTAACATGTTCAGACTTTTATTTGAGTTATTTCCGAAGAAGTAAATTGAAAACTCGAATGTCAACAGGTATAAAACGGTCGTGTGAACCGGTAAATGTATATTTATTTTTACTGGAAAATGATTTGCTATTTCCTACGACATGGTTGCTGTAAAGTTTTATTTATATCGTTCGCCTCATTCGTAGGTGTTAGTTAAACGATACAGTTACAGTGGAACATCTAGTTTTTCATCATCACTAGCTTAATCTAAGAATGAATGTGTGACGATTACTTTAATACAATTTATCTTTAATTTATTTTATGAAAGGTCAGAACTAATTACTTATGCGAAACAACGACAGAAAATAAATAGACATAGAACCTACTTTATGAAACGAATAAATATAAGTAAGTAAGCTTATTTTCTATATAGCGTTAATGCGCCTTGAGCCTAAGCATGTTTATGTGACGGATAGTACGGCTATAAAGTTATCATTAAATATGTATCCATTTCAAGCATCCGTTTAAGTATTTATAGATGTTCCGTGATAAACGAACATGCAACCAGACCCACTTTTATTACTTCCAATCTAAAATTATTTCCAGACCTGAACACTGTTTCTGGATTCAGTTTTGCTTATTTTATTATGTCAGACTTATCGGACTTGAGTAAGTACGTCATGGACTTTATGGAGGTCAATGACATAATTTTGTTGGGATTAGATTGGTGCTAGTGCTCCTACATGCCACGGCCGTATTCTGCTACGATTGATAGTATCTCGCCATACTAAAATTAAATTATCATCGTTATTGATCACGCAATATGAACTCTTGACTTCCAGCGAAATACGCCAACCTAAAAAGGAATGATGAAAATCATTGTTAACAATTTATTTGTTACGCAGGTATGGGGCGTATTCCGTGATGCGCGGCGATTCTGGCGCGTGAGCAGCAAATGGTCGAAGAGAGACGGTGACAGACATCCTGCAACACTGGGACGGCCTCTGGCACGGGCGTCTTCTGATACCACACCAGATACTAACGCTGCACCACCCTTCTGTAAGTATCTCAATTATGAAGCAGTAGATAATACGTAAGTTGACTAAGGAAACTGTCGTATTACTATTTCTAGTTAACATTACAACAATAAAAATTCTACTGTGAGTGTTACGCACAGCCGATATCAAAATGGCTGACAAAAATAATATCCCTACACAATTGCGTCATGTCCCTAAAAATTCAACTTATCATCCGGATAACAAAATGATGGCCGCGCTGACAAATACAGCATAACCTTTTCACCGGTAACGAGACCCGTGGGAAATTATAATTTTAGGGAACAATACAACGTCGGGCTTTCATAATTTGTTGTTAATGCGAAGGAAGAAAGACTGAAAGATCTCATAATTAGGTCGTCTCTTATGCTAGGTACGTACCTAAGTTGCATTGTTTCAAGTTATCGCTTAACCCCTTGCGATTTCCGAACGTTAGACCCGACAGAAGCCCGAAAATAACATCGTGTACTCTACAACCTCCAGCCATTTCTAGGGACTGATTATCTCGGTAATAATAACGCGGTCAGTTTTGGGATGGCCATTTGTGGGATCATATTATGAGCCCCTAGGGACTGGGTACAGTATGGTACCTACCTATTATCGGACAAAATTCACCTGAGGAAAATATCGAGCAATCTGAAATAGGTTGATGTTATTTCAGGTTTGTTTGATTCGTAAATATATGTACGAGCACTTCAATATGTACAAAATTGAAGGGCGTACCGTGTCCTCGTAAAATGGTAGATATTTATGTAGTCCCGTACCTCGTGATTTGAATTTTAATATTTAAACAACTAGTCTATCAAAATAAACCAGTGAAAAAGTTGGTGTAATCCAAAACTATCCGTGTGCGGAAGTCCTTTGTTGACGCACGTTTTATCTATTTCTCATGCATTTAAAATTTAATTAAACAGACCAATGCCCGTATTTAAAGGAACCTTTATAAAGAAAATCATATATAATGTAATAAGAAATATTGGTACTTGTAATATGTAACAACCAGAGCAGAGAGCGCGTTTCAATTTAAAGATATTACCACTTATTGCTTCTGAAATAAAAGGAAATAAACATAAAATGTTCTTCTCTACTAGGTACGTGGATCGTCGAAAGTATTATTATTTATTCATTTCATTTAACTGTACAAATAAGAATGAGTAGGTACTTACGACAATCGAAAGTAAAACATATTATAGAACACGTAAAACTCGATTAAGGTGAATAAATCTTTATACACATTCAAATTTACATTTAATGGGTTTTCGAGAGGTGGAAACAAGGGCCTATATCCATCCAATTACTTACTTTACCGATCGATTCAAGACGAATTGACGAATGTTCGACAAATGTTCACCTATGAATGTATTTATTAAGCTAATACTTATCGAGTTTTCGCAATCTGTTTTCCCCAAAATAATAAACATAAATGTTTTCAAAGAAGAATTGTGGCAATTTAATGTTATGTCGAATAATAATCAAATCACCTAAATTACAGGTCGTCGATGGACAGAAATGGAACTAGATGAAGAAGACGAAGTGTGTGTCGGTCGCAGCGATTCTACATCATCGTCGGGTCGGTCGGAGTGTGGGGACGAGTTTCGAGCCCGAGCCAGCACGGACTCTCGCCTCCCACCGAGACCAGCAAGGCCTAGACATCCTCTACCAACGCGGCCGTTCCCTGCACCAGTTAGAAGAATGAGCGTCGCCATGAGAGGAAACAACGCTAGCACATACTAAACAAGAACTGCTGTTATATGACCAAAGTTTAATATAATATTATGTCAAGTATGAGTGAATGTTGTGTATACACTTAATGTAATGTTAGAAGTCAAACCCGTAACAATGTCAAACTGAAAGACACACTGACCTAGATACAATGTTAAATCAATCATCTCGTTAGCATTAGGTACCTACACGTTCATTACCTAGATAATTGTAATAAGTAAGGAAACTAGTCTAATACAGTATTATATTTCTAAAGATCTGCAAGATAAGTTGTATGTATTATTTATTTATGTTATTTTTACTTAACTTTTCACAAATCTCGCTTTGATTGTGGTTACATTTAGGGAAAAGTGTCAAACAATCCAATGCCATGCTACTGGAATCGTTGCAATATCTCTTCTTTTTTCATTCTCTACGTAACGAATCAGGCGTCATCCAACAGGAAACTCTTCCTCTTACCTCACTCCTCCTACAAACTATCTATCAATTCATCTTCTTTGTCCTTCCTATTCACCTTTAACTTGCATCCCACAACTTTCATCCCTTCTCATCACATATTCATATAAGGGATAAACTCTATTTCAGCTTTTTTGTAACCGATGCCACTTACAGACATCCTTATTAATTTTAACGGAACTATTCTTAATTTCCACAAAAAAATTTTTAAGGGATAAGCCTGTAAACGAGTAGTTCGATCACCTGATCGTAAGCAACCGGCGTCGCTCATGGACACCTGGAACACCAGAGGCATTACAAGTTCGATACCGGCCTTTTGGGGATTAGGAATTTGAGGATTGTTGGGGATTCAGGGACTGGGGAGATTAGGAGGATGGGGAGGAGTAACTGAGCCTCCTCCGGTAACGTCACTCACACGACAAAACACAACGCAACCGTTATTTCACGTCGGTTTCCTGTAAGGACGTGGTATTAGTCCAGTCAAGCCGTCCGTTTAGGCTCTCCCACGCTTAAAACATCAAATAAAACTAAGTAGAAATAAATTCACGATCAACGCAAAAGATTAAATTGAAAATCCAAATCTATTACCTTTTACGTCACGTTTTTATTATTATTAAAGGACTCTTAAGCCTCTCCTTTAAATAGAACCAGATTAGATCATTAGATGCGATACAGACTCCTTTAATACAACAAGGATGCTTCAGTTTTGGTGGAAATAACCGTAAAATTAATAGAAAAGAAACAAATCTAATGTAATACAAATTACGGAGGCATGATATTTTCAATTTTGTTTTACGAAATGTTATCCCAACAACTTTACATAATATGAGCAAACAAGTATGTGTACTCGGTATTATATTAATAAACTTTGTGTAGCGGTCGTATCTATTGCGAACAAAGGAGATATTTCATAAAAGGGACGCCACGCTGACGTTCCAGTTTTTGTCATGTTCATTTAAATTTAAATGAATTTCGTAAAACCCTTTTACTATTTTATTTTTCTTAAAGTTTTTCTTATTTGCATTTAAGGATGGTGTACCTTCAAAAGAAAATGGGAGCATTACCGTTGTTGTATAAAACTTCGTTGTTCGGAAAAAATTTACTACATGCTTTATTTATATAGGATCAATAAAATGAGTTTTGTTATTTCAAAAATCATACGAATTACGAATTGATTTTCTACTAAAAACGTTTAATAACCTTGTTTGTGGCTGACGAAGTAAATCAATCATTTCATTATGTCAAAAATATGAAATAGACAAATAGTAGACTCGGAGTTTTGGGGAACTAAAGAAAGCACAAATACCGGCCCTTAATCACCACCACTGTCGTGTTATTTTATTGAGTAAAATAAAAAATTATAATATGCAACCGACAAAAATATTTCAACACTATTCTGATTTTCTTTATACAATCTGTTGAACTGTAATGTCGGCAGTTTTAACGTAATTTATTTCGTACTAGTCAATCTTAAAAAAAGTATAAAAACATAATAATATGTATTAGCAAAATGTTATTAAATTTACAGCATTGACGAAATTAAAACACTGTATGAAAAAAAAATTTGCTTTATTTGTGAAAAATAAACTGCCTACTAAATATTATTATACCACTATGGCATGTTGTACATTAGCATCGATAAGATATGTACCTGATTATGTAAATGTCAGATGTTAACTTAAACATGATATGAAAATATTTAACACAGAAATCCTATATTTTATTTTTCCTTCTAACGTTTTTTATCATTTTCAGCTGTTCCACGTCAATTCGCAAGAGGGTCGCGAATAGAATCCTACATTTGACATCACTTCAACCATATTTAAGTATCGAACAAAGCTTTGAAACCAAATGAACTTTAAATAATCGTTTCAACCAAGTAAGCAAATAGATAAAAAAAATGTTTCGAACATGGAAATATTTTTAACTTTATCTACTGTTTGATTCGATTTAACTAAAATGTAGGTCAACATTTGTTTGCAGATAAGAACATTGAGAGATACTTATCCCGTTAGACGTCCGTAATAATACAAAGCATACTCAACGGATTGCTGAAAATGAACATTTTAATAGAGTAGGTATACTAAGATTTTTTTGTTGTGTCTATTGTGACCCCCGGAAGGAACCGAACCGTGCAGCGGGAGTGATGACCCCTAGATATCCTTTGTTTGTTCAAACAAATGGTCACTGATTTGAGGTCACACATATGGGTCATATAAATTGATAAATAAATGAGCTATTAAAGGCGAGGAATGTTTCCTAAAAGAATATTATGATAATTTAGTTCGTTATCAACAATTTTTTATTAATATGATCCCTATATGTGAACTTCAAAGACGTTTTTATGAAACAGCCCATTAACATAACAAAGGAATATGATGTACAGACGGTATTCAGTAAGTACCTCGTACCGTGAGATGCACGCGGATATAGAGCCGCCGAACCTACGGGAAAATTACTCATCTTAAGGTCAAAATGATACTGCGAGCGACTCGTGCATCCATTACTTTTATCATATTACCTATTAAACACTATTTGATTTGTTTACATTTTCATGAAAGCAGAAGCTCTCCATGACCCCTGGTCTCTTCGAGACAAGATTAGAGCTCGTCGCTCGCTGCTGACGCGTCTTGCACGCCATTACGTTACCGGGACGTGTCCGAGCTAGATAAAGCTTAGACACAAAGCTATGAATCAAGTACTGTAACTTCACTCGTGTGCACACTGACCGATGTTGCTGCTTGCATTTCCAATGTTGAAATACACCTGTAATTGGAATTAGTCGATACAAGCGTTTGCTGCTCGCTCGTGACGGGAAAGTTGAAACGTAAGAAATACAGACGTAAAGTTACATCACATCGACTATTTCTCATCTTTATCTCACGTTTGTAATCAAATACGAAAACCGTGAGCAAATCGTGGCTAGTCAAATACGAAATCATTAAATTTTTCTCACGCCTTAATTAAACTCAAAGCCTTATGCACATTTTTAGTTCTTGGGATTGCTAGCCTACCAAACGGATCAAACAATAAGGTAATTCAAACAAATATGCGTAATATATGCATGCATTGATTACTTGTAATCATAGGCAATACGAACAACAAATAATTCCAACCAATAATTCAGCGACCTTCGCAGAACAAAATGTATTGTCTTAACAATATAAATCATGTGCATGATATTATCAGATGATTAATTTGATCTATGGCCTGAAGATTACGAACCACTATAGATCAAATTACTGAGACTAGACAATCACAATAACAATTAGATCGACAAGTTATTTATATGCAAATCATGTTCGAACATGAGTGACACTAGACCCAGAGGGCGTAAGGTTATTCATAATGATTATTAAATTGCCATATTTAGAATATTTCGCATAGAAATAGGCGATAGTAGTTAGGTAACTACCTAAACGGATTAATCAAGTTTTTTATCACTTGACAATGTTGTAGAAATCATAAAAATATTGTCATTTAAGTATGGTATAAAGTAACATATTTGATTTCTCGGTAAAAACTTAGACTCTACGTCTCTGACGTGAATTCACTTATTACATTGTTTCTAGAGTTAGACGCTCATAGTGACCTTCATTTCCTTCATAAGGCCTTATGCTTAAGCTTAAAAGCGTGAGTGTTCTACGCGGACCTAGCCACTACTACGTTAGTTGTTAAACAGAAAATAAATTACTACTACAAGCAAATACATTTCTGTACTAATTTTCAATTCAAACGAGGTCGAAAGACCTTTGGCCCTTTGTAAAATCCTTTCTTTTGCAATGGTCACAGCTGTATAGCATATATTCTAATGTGAATATAATAATGATGTATGAAAGCGACATGGGCTACCTTTAGCCGCGATGTTAGTTTAATGGCGCAGACGTGAGGGCCCTGCCTGACCGCAGGATATCGGCAGGGCCACTTGCTGTGGATTAGCGAAACCGGGTCGCGGCGGCACGCATCGCATGCGCATCCAGTAAACCAATTACGTTCACTTTTCAAATACAGCTTAGCTTAGATATTAATCTTCTCTCGGCTTGGCAGTTTCCTGATTAAAGCATGGTCGACAACATCGGTAATTGATAACCTGACCGCTTGTGTCTTCGACTCTATATTACAATTTTGAGTTTCATGTTTGTAGTAGTAGTTTGACAACGATTTACCAAAGAGCTACGGCAGCTATAGCTACTCGCAGTCTCTGCTGGGAATTGCAGCATTTACTGATTCTCTCCTTTACATTCGTCCTCTTAGACCAGGATATGTCCACTCGCATTAGCAGTTATTAAAAGCTACATAGCTAACTGTGCAACATTTTTTATGGTCTAGAAAAAATAACAAGTCCTCTCAGGAAATTCAAACTAAAGTAGGTATACTTATACACAATATTCATATTACTCATTTATTAAATAAAATTATAATAGGGATATTTTCCACTATTTTCCTGGATGCTTAGTTACGAAAGGAAACGATTTATAGGTAATTAAGTACTTAAGAAGAGACAAGCGAGAAAGCCGGTCTGTCTATTAACATCAGTAAAACCAAGTTGATGGTTG